TTACTCCCAACCTGATGTCCCCCCCACCCCCAGTGTGTGGGGCATGGGGGGCCCCAAGCAGCCCTTTGCAAGCTGGAGCTCTGGCAGCCTGCAAGGGAAAAGCTACTGTTTCCCATTTTTCACCTTTGAAGGACAATCCATTTTTAAAGTTTGTCCATGTCCCTTTCATATATTCTTGCCACCCACAGGTTGAGAAATGCCGTGCAGTTGACTCCTCTTGATGGACAAACCCTAAACCGGGGTTCTCAGCCTTGTTAGACTCTAGGCTGCCTGCGGTTAGATTCAAGCCAGGCTCAGAAAGCACCAGCTCATAGTTTTCACTTGCTTTTGGACTGTGGAAAAATAATAAAGCCGTTTTGATGATGATATTCTTATGATCTTTACACAGAACTCAGAAAGCCCAGGGCAGGCCACGGGGGGGTTTTACTCTGGGCTTATGTCGCAGATCATGTTTGCAGGCCTGGCCGTGGTAACACAGTGGGGAGAGACAGCGCAGTCTAGGACTGATATATGGCTGCACCTCTAGTGGAAAGGACATGGAAAGGTACCAAGAGGTGATATACAGAGCTGTGCTTCCAGATCCCCAAGTAGGGAAGCTCTGGGCACCCTCGGAGACTCCCGGTGACCCCCCTGGTAACCACTGCCTTGGAAAGCAAAGTCCCCACAATAGGGACGAGGACGGAGCAACGCCCCCCTCCCCTCCCGGGAAGCAGCACGTAGCCAAGCAGAGCCCGCCCCGCGAGAGCCGATACACCCCAAGGCAGGCGGCGCGGCGCATGCACAGACTAGCTAGCCCGGCCGACCCATGCGCAGACTAGCATGGTCCTCAGAGCACAGCCCCGAACGAAGCCGCGCGCCCTGCATGCTGGGAAATGTAGTTTCCGCCCAGTGGCCCCTCCTCCGCTTAACCTGCGGGAGCCGCCATGGTGTGACGTAAGAACGTGCCTCTCCGATTGGGCGGGCTCTTCCCGTTTCTGTCTTCCTGTGTTTCGCTTCGGGGCCTGAAGCTAGAGCTCCGCTAGGAAGTACAGGTTAGTGATGTCACGCAGCGGAAGTGACATTATTTCCGGTGTGATGGCGGCGGTGAGTATCCCTGAGCGGCGAGGGGCCGCGGGTCTGGTTTCGTCGGCGCTGGCATAGGCCGCGGCCGACTCTGGGGACGCCGGGGCCGGAGGTCGCGTCCGACTTCGGGGCCGCCACTGCGGCCTGCTCTGCTCCGCCCCGCCCCACTCTGCTCTGCCTGCTTGCGGCCGGGCCCCCTCCTCCCCTCCGAGCCCGGCAGGTCCCCGACTCGTGCCTCCTTCAGTGACGCTCTTAAGGCAGACCCGAGCCCCTGTGACTTGCAGCAGCCCCTGCGGCCCGGGAGGCTGATGAGGGGGGGTTGCTCCAAACGTGCCTGCTGCTTCGAGGGGCAGCTGAAGAGCAAACAGGCGGGTGGTGAGGTTGCTGGTTTAAATTGAGTTCGAGGGGGGATGCTGAGCAGAGCCTACCGGACAGTGCCCGCTGGCCCTTGAGCAAGTCCAAGGAGCCAGGGGATGCTGCCCAGTGAAACTGCCAGGAGGCATGAACAGATTAGGGACAGGAAAACAGCCCTGCAATCCCTGGGGGTCAACCCAGCCAGAGTCTCCTTCCTGGTCAGATAAATCACTCGTGTCAGAGATGGGCTTGTTTGAGACATATTGGGAACATGGGCTTTATGCCCACCGAGCAATGGTTCCCACCCTCCTTAGTAGAGGAGCCTGCGTGCCCGCTAACTGAATTCATGAGACAAATAAAAGACAAAACAGAGATGGGAGTGAAGGTCAGAGGTTCAAAATGACAGCAATGAGGGAGACACCAAGCAGAACACACTGGACACTGCCTACTGGCTTTCATGAGTCCCAGGAGCCAGTGGGCACTGTCCAGTGAAACTCTGCCTGGAGACGTAAAAAGACCAGAGACAGGAAAACAGCTGCATAGGCCTTGGGTGTCCTCCGTACCAGAGCCTCCTTCCTGGTCAGGTGGATCATTAGTGTTACAAATGGGATATATAGCTGGTCTGACCCAAGATGGCACTTGTGTTCCCATCTGGCTATTAGACTAATAGCATTAGTTACTCTCACTTAAAGATGAATCACATCAGTCCTGTACAGAAAACATCCCAAGACTAGAAAAGACAAGTGGAGAAGGAAGGTGGTGGAGACAAGGGTTTTTCTCTGGGATTAGCCACCAGTCTTCGTCCTCAGCCTTTTTTTTTTTTTTTAAAGCAGTTATGTTTTTTTGTGACCTGTCGCATGTTGTCAGAAAACACTAATACTGAAATGAAAAACAGTTGAGAAAATCTTGAGCTACTGACTTTTCAGCAGTGCTGTCAAAGATTTTTACATCAAGACACCACTGAATAAAATGTAATTCCTTGCTCTGATGACAGCATTGAGGGAATAACTTGGTCACTTGTATAATCAGAAGCATGGAAAAACTGCAGCAAGGGGCCTTGCACTGAGAGCTTATCTGTATTTTGTGGGGAGTGTAAAGAATGGAAATTAATAATATGTTTGTTTTGGAGTGGAATTGAGATCTTTCTAATCATTCTGGTTATTCTACAGTGAAAAGTTAATTACAGCACTACATCTATTTGTAGCTTCTTAAAGTCAGAAAGTACTGAATTCAGAAAAGCTTACATATATTTTTGTGTTGTTGCAGGATTATGAATCTTATTTTAAGAGAATTTGGCAGATATAATGCTTGGTTTTCTCATTTTAAAAATCCCTGGGACTTAAGTTCACTTTTAGTTTTCTTACATAATAAGGCCACATGTTGCTGAGATGTTTCTTGTAAGATGTTAAGAAATTCATTTGGGTTGCACCGATAGAGATTTTTTTTGACTGATGACCGATTTTTAACGAGCCATATCGATCAATGCTGATCCAATTGCCAATATGCAGCTGGGCAGCATGGAGAACAGCCTCTGGCTGGTAAGTCTGTTGTGGTGGAAGAGGTGGGGGGTGGGAAGGGGCATGTGGGGGAGGCAGATCAAGGC